GAAAGCTTTGCATGCCTCAGAAGCTGACACTGTTCAAAAACTGATTAATCAAAAGAAAGTTAATTCAGAGATATTAAACATAGTAAAGACACCACCATCTACTTCATAACATCATGGAGTCAAACTGCTGGTGGCAGAATACCACCTCATGCTTCTTGTTCTCAGATTTTTCCACAGGTATTTTCTATTGGTTATAGTTCCATAACTACAATCAAAGCTGACAGTTCTTGATTTCTAATCAGCGCACATTACTGCTTAAGCTACTGACCATTGCCAAGAGCAGGATACCCAACCTGAGCGATGTTTGGTTTGACCTAGTACGGCTGCTCACACCTTCTTTTGATCATATGAATACCTTATTTATGTCACTCAGATGAAAAGTCTCTTGGTCCTGAAAGACGTCCACTCTGATCTAACTTATTCTTGTTTTCTCCTCATGCCCGGGATGAGGCATGTTCACCCCATGTGTTTTTAATTAAAAAACTGGTTTGCTCAAACAGTATATATAGATGAAGACCCAAATTGAATTTCTGTAGCTTCTGCGAGTTACGATATGTCAACATATTCAATGCTTCAGTACTCCATTAGATAATTATTCTGATTTTGATCAGTATGTTTAGGTGCTTATCATACTGATTTACTGACCAGTACCTGACCAGACTACTAGGAGGCTAATAACGTTTTTGACTGTAAAGTGATCTAACATCCCCTATGTGGAAGGCCACAAAAGCAGAGAGATACATGCTGAGACTCTCTCCCTGAACTTTTTGTACCACATTTACAGCATAGACAGTCAATCAGACCGCGACTCATGCCTCTTCAAAGACTGCAATCTTTCCAAATTTTGCAGTCCATCAGCAAGGATAAAAACTCTTCTTAACAGACATCAGTTACAGCATTACGAGAAAACATGGTATGGATTGATGTATTTGGAGGCCAGTGATGCTTATTGTTTGTAAGATGATAGTTAAGTTCTTTGTATGCTTTTAAGGTTGCAAAACATATCCAGAAAATCAAGATGTTACACAGTTGTTTAACTGGTAAATTCTGTATGACAAAGTTTATGCTAATGCTGTCAACACACAGGATTTGGAATATGCTCATAGGCACCAAACACGTTCAGTGACTTTGAGAAGACTCAGCATGAAGAAAAAAAATGGAGGTTTATGCAAAAGCTGCAATTTGAAGAGAAAACACTCTTCAAATTAATTTTTTTTTTTTTTTAAAGCTTGTTACCTGCTAGGTAGGTATACTAACTGGAGATTGTTAACTGGCATTACTGCCAGAGTATGCTGATAGCTGATCTACCAAAACAGAAGTTAAGAATTTTAGACCATGAAAACAGAAAGTATTTAAGGCACAAATTGAAACACGATGCACTACTGAACTATTTCAGACAATGTCACATTGACATATTAAGTTAAAGAAATAATTTAGTAAGCTCTATGACCCTAATTAATTAAACCTATGCATACTATTAATCCCTCTAATCAATCCAATTAAAGGCTAAAGCAGTCTCACGTGTTTGTACACAAAGTGCCCAGCTGAAGTGAGTTTTAACAATGCAGCTAAGCGGAATGCTGGGGTCAGTCAGAACTCAGTGATCATTACGTAGCTGGTAAGCAGAAGAAGTCTGTAAACTCACCTGCTTGGTGTTTTTGAGGTAAATGTTACATTACCCAAGATAAATAGTGTTCACGCACTGTTACCTGTGTTTCTCCTGGAGGGTTTAGTCCTTCACAGATGAGGCTCTTGTTAGCAAATCCTTCCTTTGCAAAATGTCCACTCCTAAAAGACAAGCTCATGTTTTTTTGCACAACACATAACAGGAAAAATATTCATCCTTCATCTTTGTTTCTTCCTCATTAGGAAATACTCAGGAAAACTTTGGGGGAAAAAATAAGATTTAACATCATTGTATTTATTAGGTTCCGAAACAATACACATTCACATCCTTTTGAATACAGTACATTTGGCACAGTAATAATGTTTACGATGAAATAACACTAATGAATGGCAAGAGATTCAAATTACATCCATAAGAAAAAAAATTCTGTACAAATAAATCCTCACAATAAAAAAAACCTACCCCCCCAACTGAATACATTTTATAGTTAGCCAGAACTATTCTGCACATAATTTAAAAAGAGGTAATTTGTAAGCCTTTTTTGGAGAGAATTATTTTTCACCCTATGGAGAAAAATGTGTTTCCATTTTTTTATAAAGTCTATTTGGGAGGAAAAACAAGAAACAATGGATTCTTTATAATTATTATTATTATTAATAATCTTTTTGGCATTTTGCACTCATTTTACAAAGAAGGAACAGGAAAGATTTTACAGAACAGGCAGAAATGTAACAGAATGTCCATTTTTAAGAATTATCTTTAAAAAATGTTCAAGGTAACAGACAAACCTTCTGATGTAAACCCAATGCAGAGGATCTAACTATTTATATTGAAGAAATATCTGCCCATGCAAAAGTTTTTATCTCCTTGACTTTTCTCTTAGCATCCTACCAATCATTGCAGGTGCCGAGGCCTCCTGAAATACAAACGTTTGCTAATTATCATCATGTTAGAAACAGGAATACAGACTACATAGCTTGCTTACAAAAGCTTTATGGGGTGCTTTTATTCCTTCAAAATAAACGCTCAGAGTTGTGTGTAAAGGCCTCTTGTTGTACAAACAGTAGTGCACTATCCAATGATAACTCGTCTTCCTAGCCAGTCTACTCACCTATGGAAAAGAACGCTTTAGCATTGTGATCAGTTCTTGCCTGGATGTCAAAAGCTAACCGTGATGAGAAATAAAGAGGCAGTGGCGAGACACAAACTGATGGGCAGTTCTACAATATATTTCTAAAAGAGAAAGAAATTTCAACACTGAGATGATGCAATCATTAAGATGTTTCTGTGCTGGTACTCAGTTCCAGAAGCTAGTCTTTTCCCAGTACAAAAGATTACTGAAGATAAATTAAATTAAACTAGAGGCTTGATCCATTATTACACCTGTAGGCCAGACAACACATTAATTGATATATCATAATATTTAATATTTTGAAATAATCAATAAGAATATATATAATAATTACACCTGAGTTTTAAAAACAAAACAAAATGGAACTGAATGTTGTCATCAGTAACAGGCTATGAGCAGCCAGACGCAAAACTGACACAAACTAACTCATCTGCTTCAGACCGAGATTATCTCTTAAAGCCAATGATTCACACTTTGTCCACCATGATTTGTAACATTCCTTTCTCTTTCCGAGCTCTATCATGTCATAATAGAGTTGAAGAGAACTATACAAGAGATTTAGTATAGCTTAATATATGTCTACATCTTTTATAACAAAAACCTCATCTCTCTGACAGTAACTTGAACCAATACACATACAAGAGTATTGCACATGGACATTATTATAATTATTCTTTCATAGACTAACATTTTAATAGTATGCCTGAACATGCAGCAGTTGATACCTCTATATTCAATGAATTCCACAGGCCTTGCAGCAAACACTATATACAAAATCTCACCTGTACAAAAGGCAAAAAAGCTTCTTTAGTGCCACTTTGCCAATCACAAGTATATATATTTTTGTGCAGCTGGAAATCCATGTGCAACAATTAAAATGGATTCCAATGACCGCTCACTCAGTCCAGTAAAATATATAATAAAATGACCTCAGCGATACATGTACACACAAAAAAAAAAAAAAAAGACCAAAACCAACAAACCACAGGGTACTTCTGGAAATATAAGTACATAACACTGTTAGCGTATCTACAGGAGGTAACTTCACATTAGTAATATTGTCCACATGAGTTACCATTTCAATTCATACACAAAAAAATTCAATTTACAACTTTCAATAATGTCAGTTTGTGAATGTTTGATCTTCAGTTTTTTAACACACTTCCACATAATGCATGTGTAGCCTTATTTTGTATCTTCTAAAAGCAGATTTCTCTTTAGATTTTAAACATAAAAAAACAACAAACACAGTAGTATTATGGTTTTGTAAAAGTGTGCAAAAGTAACACACTGCTGAGAAAATAAATATAAATAAGAAATTATTTATCAACTTAGCTACAATGGAAAAGGCAAATTTATAATGTTTATAATTAATTTTTTTATGTAAAATTAACTGTAAACATTTGCAAGCTTGCCATCATATTAATGGTTCATTTAAAGGAATATTAAATTTGGTAACATGGATAGTACACCCAACTGCCTGAAAAACTGTAAAATGCCTATATATACCTGTATTAAAGTACTATAGGCTTTTTATTCTTTAGCCCTTTAATAACTATCCATATAGTATCTATTTCCTGCTTTAAATAAAATTTCAGTTATCTTTGTGACTCTTCTTATTCCTAAGAGTTTTCCATAAATTGTACGAGGAACTTCATCAAAAGCCTTAACTGATGTGCTTCTTTTTCTGGACAGCTGTATTTTTAAGTTTGTACCTCACCACAATAAATTCACAACTGAAGATTGCACCTCCATGAAGGCAGACTTCTTTGCTTACCAAAGGGCAACACAAAACTTATTTGTTCCACATCTGAGTGCAGATCTCACCCTAGCCACCAGTGCAGAAGAAACAGTTCTCACCTTCTTAGCTTAAACACATACGATGAGTACAGAACATGATCTGCTAAATTGCTTTTAATAGCATGGCTTCGTTTTCCATGGAAAAGATGCAATTTTGTCCTCTGGGGAGATCTTAGGAATAAAAGAAAAGTTGCAAAAATACGGCAGTGTGTTACATCTACAATTTCTGATACAAAATTATTTTGCATTGCTTTGTGAGACAGAAATTAAGAGTGCTTTCAGGTCAGAAGATTAAAGGAAAAAAACAATAAATATATACTTTAATTGGGGATATGGGCTCAGGGTAAGAAAAGTAGTTCTTGATCTACTGAGTCTCAGTAATTTGATGATCTCTTCAGAATCACTTCTCGCAGCATCATTCATCTGTCAGCCTAATGTTGTCTATGGCAGTAGCTCTTCTCCAAAATAAGAGAACCCTTTAAATTCTTCTTGATTGATTTGTTTTATAATTGTCTCATCCACTAGCGTTAATACTGGTTCTTCTCGTGTAAAGTCTTGATCAAAGTTATTTACATCCCTTTTGGTTTTCTGAGAAGAAAAATACAAATAAGGTGAATGGTAAAACAGCACAGTAAAATAAAAGGTGCTCTCCCTCCTCTCCACCCCCCCCCCACCCCGAAAGGCTGAATTTTCTGGAATGATTGAAATAAAAGAGGAGCTACTTCACACAAAGAATAACAGATGTATGAGAGAAGCTACAGGAGCAAGTACTATAAATGAGTTCAGGAGAGGCCACAGAAGCAGTACTATAAATGAGTTCCCAGAGACGCACGGGTCTCTGACAGGCGAAGGAATAGCAGTATGATGATAAAGCAGAAAGCTGAGATTAGGACTAGTTTAAAAAAGGCTTTGGCATAGTAGGTGGTACAGCTGTTTCCTCTTAGATTTGAGCATAATGATATCTCATTTCAGAGGCACAGAGTGAGCTGATTTAATTGATTTCCCCACAATATAGCCTACTGTTTTAACTCTAAAGTTAACTGTTTCTTTATATCTGGCTACACTCAGCTTTACAATCAGATGTAGACCTTGCAACAGCTCTCAGTCCAAAATCCTTGAGCTCCGCATTGGCAACTCAGGTTTCCTAATGCAGCTGAATGTCATTCAGAGCGCCACGGCAAAGTGTGAAATTCTGGCTCCAGAGAAATCCACCTCAGAACTCTTCTTTATTTCAATGGCGTCAGGCTTTCCCCATTGAAGTCTAAAGCACCTCACTCCTTCAGCAAAGCTGGGCCAACAAAGTGCGAGTGTACATCTTGTGTTTGGGATAAGGCGTATTAACTGGAGACAGCCTTGGGAAGGCCGAGTCGTTGCCTTCAGGGCACTCATGACAGTGACTATCTGTGTCCACTTACATGTAAAAAAACCTAAGGCTACAGGGGAAAACATTCCCCATTGTCATTCCCTTGAGACCTGCACTGTTCATGCCTTCCACGTTAGCAGCGTATTTCAGGCATGTACACATTCAGGGAATTGGAACAAGGATCTTTTCTCTTTGTTTCATGAAGTCTAATAGTTACCTGAATAATAATAATACTTAACGGAGGCACGCTGACACATTGAAAACTAGCTTTGTGTCCATCCTGCACATGTCTGAGATTAAGATGATACCAGAAGTAGCATAGCTATTTGACTTGCAAAGTAAAATGATAAAATCATAAAGTGATACATCATGTGTATCATAATACATCATAATGTATTCCAAATGGGATATATGCCTCCTTTCAATGTAGGTAAATTTTCCTATAAAATACATATATAAATGTATTTTCTTAATCAGCTCTACTGAGGCTCTAAAACAGTTTTCTTTCTCACAGTTGTAAAATGGTCATAGCAACCTTCACCTACATTGTTTGTAAGAACTTTATAGATATAGGGAAAAAAAGGTCTATATAAATGCAAGAGACTGTCACTTGTATACCAAGTACTTTCTAAGTGCAGGCAACCAAAAATCCACATCCTCTATCTACAAAACTTCATTAAAAGGAAAGAAATATGGACTTAACAAACATATATGTATGTTTATATTGTTTACATTTTAATATTTAATTCATACATAAAGACTGGTCATAAAGTGTATGTGACCCATATACTCTGAACTGCATAAAATGTGAGGGACATGGCTTTGGGCCTTATGTTTTTTCCCAGTCATTTGGGCAAATACTGCAAAATAGGAATGAAATTCCATATGAATTTTTAAATGCATTACATTGCAACTATGTCTACATTCTTCTTGTTCCCCATGTTCTACCGTGTTTTCACACACTCATACAAGAAATTTGCTACAGGAATAGTCACTAAAGCAGAAGGAGGTAAGTGAATATTTGTAGAAAGTAGAATTCAAATTCAGAACTGTAGTTATGTGCAAGAGAAACACGACTACACTCACACTTTAACCACTTGTTATCCAGGGCAAATAAGCTCTGGACTAGCTGAGAACAAATACAATATATTTTATTTTCAGGTTTTGATACTGAGCGTATTTGTGAAAAGTGTTATTTCTTTACTGAAGCTAAAAGAATAAGATGAAAAATTCCTCAAAGCCTATCAGGGGCAATTAATTCCCAATAGATACTTTTCCCAGAAAACCATCACTGAGATTTGTGAAGGTGTTAGGTGAAAAAGAGTGCAGATGAGTACATCTGAAAAACCGCCCCAACACCAGTATACCTAAATACTATTGATTAAAAATAATTGTACTTCCAGTAGATCTTCAAATCCCAAACACTTCTGAAACAACAACCAAAGGTATTTGCTCAGATTTAAAAGCCTAGCATGTCTTATAATATGCCTTCAAGACCAAAGAAGGAAATAGAAGTTTTTACTTCCTCAGATTTATAAACAATTCCATGTCTTTTTGGCACCACAGATGTAAATCACCCAATTTATTAACAGAACTATGGAGCAATCTAAGATTGCAAGGAGATGCTAGCAAGCCTCTAACTAACCAACTGATGAAGTGAGACTAAATAAATCACAGGGAACAAAAGTGAGTGGATTAAGCCATACAAGACAAAAGGTAGAGTTCATAACAAGTGCTTCTTTTCAACGGAAAGATTTATTTGAGAAACCTTCTTAGCAACTTAGGTGCTTTCTTTCTGAAGCGATGACTATTTTGCAAGGCCCCATCTGCTAAGACGAAACAGGTCTGGCCACATTTCTGCTACTATTGCTATTTTAATGTACTTGCACTGTGAACACTCTATAGGCCAACAGCATGAACCAATATATAGTTGCAGCATGAGGGCTCAGGATGAAGGTATGAAGGGCTGTGGCTGTCTCCTAGCAGAGAAGCTGAGAAAAGAAAGAAGATCTGCAAGGTAAGGAGAGTATATGAAGGAAACAGAGTGCAACTATTATCCAACTTTGAACATTAAAAAAATCATGAAGAAAAAAAAGGAAAAAATCTTTAGATTGGCTGGCAAATGCATCATTAAAAATGGAGTAACTAAAGGGGTAGGATTCTGTTGATTTAGCCTGCAGCTCCTGAGACTTTGGGATACATTATTTTTAACTTTTCAAACTTTTTTCCAGGTAAGACTCCTCAAATTCAGATGACTGAAGAAACTAGGGTTATTAGGAAAAAGAAGAACCCCCAAACCACAGCTGTCCACCCAAACACATAGAAATTTGACTAGGTTTCAGATGCTACTTTTTTCTTCTCTAGACCACCCAGACACCTTGTGTTCAGCATGTGTCAGTGCTAGATGAGAGCAGGGGCACCGCAGCTACTCAAGAGCTTCCAACAATAGGGGCCAAATTCCACACTGCATTGAAACTGCTCTACTGCAGGCAGCATGTGGGCAGTCCGTCTTGGTCTGACAAAGAGCAGCAGCAGCGCCACGGCACTTTTAATGACTAAAAATGACACAACTCCAATTCTAAACCTCATCTGAAAGATGGCTTCTCGAACAGCACGGTATCTCCGATAGTGAGAAGGAATAGTGACTCACTACCTCTTGTGCAGGAAACGTGCCAGCTAGTTGATCTTTCAGTTTTTCCAGCAGTGTGAATGCTTCGTAGGTCTCCTGTCTGAGCACTGACCTAGTGTGACCTGCTTATCCCGGGAGACATGGTGGACCTGCTTCATGTGGGTCACAGGATCTGATTAGACGTAACACGTATGTGACAGAAATAGAAGTCCTTGAATTAATAAATACTAACATGACCTACTACCCATCAAGAATGACAGTTTTTAAGTCAAAGTCATGTTTTATTCTATTCAAAGATTACTACTTCTGTTTGAAGAGCTAAAGATACTGGAAATTTTAGAAGACTATCTCTTCATAAAACACCATTTAATCAGCTTTCCTAGTTGGCCTGTACAACTTCGAACAAAGGAATATGGTTTTATGAGTCAAAATGCTTTTTTTCTTAAATCTCTTCACATAATTACTAAAATATTAGAAGGACCTTCATATGCTATTAATAACCACACATTAAACACTGGTTTTCTTAACTGCTTTTATTTTCACTACCATTTCAATGAAAAATTAATTTTCTACCTGCAGTCACAGACTCAAGCTTAAAAACCCCTCCAAAACATGCTTAATAAGCTTTCCAGTGTCAAGGATTACCAACCTTGTCTGTTAATGATTACTAAATGACACTATATGAATAGCAACAGTGAAGAAAGAAATCTAAGTTGATGTTCTTATCACTGAAAATATATTAAGAAAGAACTTGCCATTCCTTCCCATTAATCACATGAACCAAATGTGAATGACAGGAGTCTCTGGTATTGAAAAGCCACAGAAATCCTTGCAAGAAGGCACCTGACAGGGGGTGTTCCAAACCAGAGAACTCAGCAAAGCTTGGGCACCTCATCAGCTGTGTCATGAGGCCAAGAGACTTGGTGGACTCTCTTCTGCCTAACAAGGGTTACATTAATTCTCCAGCTTGGAGGCATTAAGAGGCATCTATCTCTACTCCATTATTTATTTTCATTTAATTTGCAGAAAATCACAGAAACTCTTTCCAGTCCTTTGCAAGCTGAATGGCTCCAATAAATTGGACTGGAATTGTCCAGCGGGTTCAAAGGCTACTCAGAGTTGGTGAAAGAAAGATGGAGGTGGTGGCTAGAAAACATCACTGCCACAAAAGCCTAGATTTTGTATTTTAGTCTGATTTTCCTACAAATTCACAATATGCTGTTTAAATATAACTGTAGGAATCCTCTTTAAATCAATTCATCGATTTCTGCTTAGTTTAGTAGAATGAGGAGCTAATCCAGAGCAGCCAGCCAATACAAGTAAGTGAGGTCAGAAATGATCGTTATAACAATAAACCAATACGTTGGAAGAAAAAATTATTGTGCTATGACATTTTTCAGTAAGAGGACCTTTCGAAACAAAATATATACAAAGCTCATTCATGATTTTCATGGAAATGCAGATGCAGATTGGCCTTTCTGTATCACTGAAGGAAACATCTTTAACTTTACTCCACTGCAATTTTCTGTCAATAGCAGTGCTTGATGCCTCTTCATATATTTTCAATCCCACAGAGAAATCCTGGAGTTTGCCACT